GCTGCTGCTGCTGCCGCGGCTGCTGCCGCTGCTGCTGCTGCTGCTGCTGCTGCTGCTGCTGCTGCTGCTGTAACTAACTGGTACACTTCTACTCGGGAATTTCGAAAATTTATGTACCACAATGGTCGATGTCGTCGTTGTTTCACGGTCTGGGGTGCTGCATGTATGCAAGCTGCAGAAGAAGGCCACGATGTTCAAGTTGTAATGGTCATGGGCAGTTGGAAGGAGGCAGCTAGGAGTTTGAGGCCTGCGTTGCGCCATTCTCGCAGAATGTGGTTTCGCGAGCCAGAAACTCTAAACTTCAAAAGCACGCACAAAATCCTTCAACCATATACCTCCGAACGCTTGAAGACGTCCCCCTAATCTCCGGCCTCAAAAGCCACGCCAGCTTGGTTTGGATCTTCTCCAGCTCCTGCCGAGGAGCTCAGCTCGATGTCTGAGATCCGTAGACTCTCAGCGTTCCGAAGGCCAAAGGCAGCCAATTGGAAGGTGACGCTTGGGACTTGGGATGCAAGCTGAGTCTTTCAAAGAGCCTGAGCCGGGAAGCCTCTCAATCCTCGACTCTCGGTCTTCGAAATCGCCGTCTTCTCAGCTCTCGTGTCCTCGGACTTCATGTCCTCCCAGGGGCCGGGGCCTGCAGGCAGCAGTTCGAGGACTTGTATGGGACTTTCTTGTAGGCCCCCCATGTTTCGACTCGATTTTCTCAAAATCCTAGAAGAAGACGGCGAAGAGAGCCCGACAAGATCCGCTCTCGCCTCGACTCCTCCCTGTACTGCGTGAGCGACGTTGCCGCGGGGAGGCGCTGCGCTGCCGCGCCTGATCGGAGAAAGTTCTGCGCAGGCCATGCACCCGATGCAATGTGTGAAGGGCTGGCCCTCGCACTCGGCACCTTCTGCTTCTTGTAGAGGTACTGGCGCCAGCAGCGGACCCACTCGGTGATGGTCTCGTCGCTGGCACGCTCCTGCAGAATCTGCAGAAGAGGCCAGGCCGAGGCCAGGGCCCCAGAACAGACGGGCCCCAACTGAAGGGTACGAGCAACGTTCACACCTCCTCAAGACTGTAAGCCAGCCAAGTCTCTGTGCGACGCTCCGGGCGCTCGCGTCGCTCCTCAATGACCTGACCGTGCAGCGTGACGGGGGCACTCGAGCTGGGCGCCCTAAGCTGCTATTACACATCTTCGTGGTGGCTCATCTTTGGGAACCAAATCTCTGCACTAAAGACGATCACTGGCCCGGGAGCCGGTGAGTGGCGATCCCAGGCCATTGGAAAGCTGCCCTACCTTCGATACAGCAGGTACGATTTCCTTGATATCACCTCTTTTTTTCAGCTCGCTTCTGAGAAACAGAGAGCTGCTCTCGGAAAGGAGTTCGGGGGGGCATTTCGGAGTTCCCTCAACTCCGGATTCACAGCGGCTCTTGGCTTGCGCTGCGGTTGTCCGCTTGCCCTTCTGCTGAGGTGGTCAGCCCTGGTTCTCGACAATCATCGCTGCAGAACTTTGCAGCTCTCAAGATCGGTTGTAACGAGCCAGTGCCGGAGGTTCGTTGATGGCCGGGGCTTTCTAACTCGACCCCAACACCGCAGCAGCAGCAATGGCCTCGGTATGAGCCGTAATGGCCTCGGCTTCGGCGGCGCCTGATGGGCCAAGGGTCTGTTGTTCCGAAATTATAGAAACCAGGGGAAGATTCGAATCAGGCAAGCTGCAGCCCCGTCAAAGCACAAACGCCCTTCCACAGTTCCTCAGCCATCTTATATTTCCTCGGGCCCCATACAACCTGTAAACAGCTGACGCCAGCTGCACAGCGCACATGCAACGAAACTTTACAGTGGCGCAGCGGAGCCCAAGCCCATGGGGCGGCCGGGCTGGGCCTTGACCGCTGACGCCTCGCTCCTTGTCGAGGTGCTCGGTCAGCTCCTGGACTGGGAGAGCACACCCACCTTCCCTCTCCTCCCGCGCTCCCCCAGCGGGGGCCCCGAACTGGTTTCGACAGGTTTCGAGCTCAAGGCAGCAAGCGGCAGGATGCTCTGGACACCAAACCGGAGCCCCGGCCTTCACAGTGGGGAGATCCAACATCAGCGTCGCCGGCAGTGTCCGGCCAAGAGCACGCCCTAGCCTGCAGCCGGAGCCCACGCAATCAAAGCTGTGAAGCCGTGCACAGCAGTGTCGACATCAACACCATCTTTACCACCGTGGCTGCAGAGCTTCGTACACACAGGAAGGAGCGATGTGGTGTTGAACCCTTGCCTGGAATACAGGGCCACTCCAACAGACCGAGATAGAATGTTTCTAAATTCCTTCTGGGGAAACGAAACCTCAACGAACTGAAAGAGCGTCATGCCTGTTTTGGATGACGCCCATGTCGAAGGAATCCAGTCCGCTGGAGAAGAATCCCTGGTCCAGGTTGTCCATGTCGACTTCCTGAGTGCGACCCGAGAACCTGGAGCTCCCGAGCCCCAAGAACACGCGCATTCGTCACAACTTCTCTTCTTCGATCCAGTGAGACCCAGCGAAACAGCTTCATCTTCACCATGGAAGCCTAGTCCTTCTTCGGGCCAAGGCGCGTAGCCCATCTCTGTCATGATGGAAGACAGAATTTCCAGTGAGGCCACTTGTGGCTCCTCCTATGAGCATCTTCCGACAGGCGTGAAGCTGTTGAAGGCTTTTGCTCGAGTGTTGAAGGCTTGAGATGTCTAGGAGCTCAGGGCTCCAATGTCTCACTCCCAGGAAGGCGCCTTCCTCTTCACGACCTCCTGCTTGGCCTCCGGTGCCTTCGGCTCGATGCTGAGCGCCGGCTCGAAGGCCCAGTCCTTCGGCCTCGGGAAACAAAGACGAGATCGTTTCCCTCGACCTGGCCTTGGTCTTCATGCCTGTCCTTTCCTGGAAGGTGTGGAAACACAGACCCCAGAGATCCTGAGGTGGAGACTTGTACTGAATGAGAACTCCAGTAGCTTCGTTTTCGAAGTCCTGGCACACTCGGGAGCCCGCAGCTCGGGAACGGTGGGGGCTTGACGGAATCAAGAGCTGCCAGCCCGCAGAGCACCCAAGACCTCTAGGGACCCTTAGCCCTGTTGAGTGGTCAATACACTCTGACAACATAAACCTGAATTCCAAGCACTTGCTCTGCTTCGCTTCGCACCACGCGAGGTTCGGGAAATTTTGGTGCGTCTGTCCAGAAGCTCTCTGCACAGAATTAGTGTTCGCACGATCAAGAACGAAAAAGGACGGCCGCCGACCCAAACAGGCAACAGGCACCAGCCAGCGACAGTTGGGTTGATGGCAACAACGCGCGACACTTCTACCTAGCCTGAATCATTTGCGAGCACATCGGCAGATCATCGGCCGTGCAACGAGGAATTGTTCTGATACTGCGACTTACATGCCTCACGTCGGGCGACCGAGCCTTTTGGCTGAGACGCAACAGCCACTCGGTCGTATGCTGTTAAGTTGCTGCGAAGCTTACCTCCGCCAATCTGAAGAGGTTGCTGACCGTTAACCGACAGGCCTCAAACTTCAAGTATCCCCCAACCGCCCCCAAGATCACGCTAAGCTCCACCTCCTTCCCGAAGCACCACGAAGCCTTGATGACCTGCCTTTAGAAGCAGAAAATGACTAGCATTCACTGGCATGTTCTCTCCATCAGAGAGAGTGAGACACAGAGACAGAGACGGATACAGAGAGATACAGAGAGAGCGAGACAGACAGAGAGAGAAAGAGAGAGACAGAGAGAGAAAGAGAGAGACAGAGAGAGAGGAGAGAGCGAGAGAGAGCGAGAGAGAGCGAGAGAGAGAGAGAGATATATATATATATATACATATGTAAATACATAAATATATGTATATACACACATCCATACATACATACATACGTACATACATACATACATCCATGCATGCATCGATACATACATACATCCATGCATGCATGCATGCATGCATGCATACATACATACATACATACATGCATGCATGCATACATACATACATACATACATGTATATACATATTTCTATATGGGTACATATATATATATATATGTACAGATGTACACATGTACCTTTGCATGTGTGTGTGTGTATGTACGTATATACATAAGTATGTATATATATATGTATATATATACATACTTATTCATTTATATAAAACCTACATACTCTGGCATGCATGGACTCCCTTCTCGCTTCGGTGCTCCTCCGGCCGGTAGCCCGGGACCAAGCCGAGGACTTTGGCGCCGTAGGAGGTGTGAAACCTCTGTAGTTCGCTTTTGTTGAAGTGCATTGGTCCTCCATTACGACACGAGCCCGCAGCCCTCAAACAGGAGTTTGGGGCTCAGGGGCTTTGATTGGGTGTGATGTCGTGCAAGTTGCAGCTGAAGGGTTGAATCACGCTTCCGAACGCGTGGAGGTGCTACGGGAAAGGAACTGATCTTCAGGATGCGCAAACAGCTCATTGCGGAGGGATGCTCCAGTTCTGAACTTTGGGTTTCCGGATCACAACGACCCTCAGTGCGGACCATGCAGCGTAAGAATTCGGTCGTTCACCTTGCCGTTGACGTGCATGTCCTGCTGAATACGCTTGAGGCAGGCCCAGCCGGGTTTAACAAAAGCACAAGGTGCCATGTCCGAAAGCTTGCACTGAAGAACGGCCTTGCGGGAATGTTGAAGGTCTGATGTAGATAGTTCCCTCAGAAAACAGGCCTCGTAAGAAGCTCTCATGAACAGAACTACAAGTAACATGAACTAACCAGGGTCCACGTACTGCTGCATATTCTTCACACCGCTGCTGGCGTAGTCGTGACACCTAAGCACAGGCCGCGAGTTTAAGGTCTTGGCCGCTGGATCGATGGCATATTCCACTCTCGGGCAACCCAGTGCAGAAAACTCAGCCCTGTGGAACAGGTTGCTGTAAGGATTTAGCGCAGAGCTCATGGGAACGTAGAGCTCAACTCGAAAGGACCATTCCTTCCCAAAATTCTTGCCGGGCGCAGAGTCACGGCGCACACGGACTCGATGGTCGGGTCGAGGCGGGCCTGGGAAAAGGCCCCATGCAACCACCGTTGCTCCAGACCGCCCCGAAGGTCATGACGATAAGAAATGAGTCTCAACCTCACCAGCCATTCCACAACGAAGACAACCCTATCGGGAATAGCAGCATCTCACAGGATTTAGATTCGCCCCCTGGCAGCTCCACAACACAGGACCTGTAGGGACCTAAAGACAGAAGGACCTCGGAGAGGAAACAGAACAGCACAAGACGTAACGTTTAGTGCAACTGTAAGTTTAACATGCAAACCATTACCGGCTAGATCGAACAGTCAAACAAAATTAGATAAACTTGCAAACATTACGAAAGGTAATGCTTCATCAACTCCAAGAGTAATAGCAGTCGATTACGAAAATGATATGACTGGTGTTGTAAATGGTAGCACTGATACTATAGTTTCAGAAAGATAATTAATTTCATTACAAAACCGAGCCTTCCCTGGATTCGGAAATCGATTCTCCGCCTGAGCATCCAGACTCCGGCCCACAACAAGACAGAAGAAACAAAGCCTGAGACAAACGAGACCGCGTCACAACCTTCCGGAACCGAGACGTAGACACGCAATAGCAAGCAAAACACCACCCTCAGACCCACTGAAGCCGCAAAAATCAAAAACAAACAAAAATCCCACGTCCCAAGAAGAACACCCCAGGCCCCAGGATTTGAAGAGGCGGAGGCCCGGGCCAGGTGGAGGGCGAAGCTGCGCAGCTCCGTGCCGAGCCCCCTGCGCGCCACAGCGGCCGTGGGCTCGACTCGTGGAGAGTTTGAGGCCAAGGGCCAAGGGAATCTCGAAGGCCCGCTTGAACATCCTGCAAGACCCTGTGCTCTCCGCCTGTGCTCCGTGTGGGCGTGGATGGCGATGAGCTGAAGCACCGGACCCCCCTCCACGTGGCCTTCGAAGACCTGCCACGCTCCGCGTATCCGGGAGGCCCACACTGTCAGGGATGTCGACTCTTCCCAGCCTGCTGGAGCTTCTGCCGGTAGACCTGACTTCAAGATAGAGTTTTGCGTGGAACTGCCGACTCTTCGGATGGCAGGGCTACGGTACCTTTCCCTAGTGGGGTCCGGAGGGCATGAGGATATTAGGTTCAAAGTTTTAGCCTTCAGCAAGTCTCATGCAAAAGACCGCGTACTGCCAGGAAGTTGAGCTGCAGCCCAATCTCTCAGGCGTGCTGTGTAGGGAAGAGGCAGTTGGCGTGCCAGGCGTTGCTTGTGATCAGCACTGGTCGAAGAGAACCAATGTCCGACGCAGCCGAGCAGCATCCTCCGGCTTGCGGATCCGCTGCGTGTACAGCACAGCCCGCACCTGCCCGGACTGTGCGGCTCTGAGCACTGCATGCAGTCTTAGCGGAAGCCTCTTTGCGGCTTCTCTATGTAGGAAGCTTACGACTTCGGCTGTCGCTATCCAGACTCGGGGCCATCGCTGTTGCTCATGACTTTTCCTGAAGACACCTGAATCCTCTGGCCATGGCAGCCTGCCAGCGGCTCCCCTTCCGCGCCTGCCCGTCCACCTCCAAGGCGAAGCTCGTCGTCGGAGAGGTTTGGATCCGCTTCAGCAGGCCTGGACGAGTCGTCTATAGCACCACGGAGGCTGTCAGGCTGTAAGGCACTGTAAGGGTTTAGGGATGCCTTGCGGACCTTCTGAGTTGTGGAACTTACACTGCAGCGCTGCAGGTGATTGTGATGGTCTCTCTGGTAGCCGTGCAGATTCGGTCGGGGGGCTGGGCAATCAGCCTTTGTTCCAACAAGCAAACTGAAGAATAGCGTCTACGAGTCTCAGCGAAGCAGCGTTTAGGACAGTAGCCTCAAGAACAAGCCAGGCACCTTCTCTGGGAGTGCGCATGTGCTTCTTCCATGCCATCTCCTGGCGACATTGCACTTCAGCGGAATTGAGCAGTGGGTTGAACGACCGCCACCACGCCCTGCGAGAAAAGAACTCAAGGAGCAGCCAAGACAACCCTCTGCTGCTGTGACTACTTATAGACCGGGTCCACACCAAAGAAGTCACCAGTGCTGTTCTCTTAAAGCGAGTTTGGGACCTTCACGGTGGGTCCTCTAAGACTTCCAGCGCCGGCAGATCCTCGGGAACCGCGAAGCGCACTCGGAAGTTTCGTCTGGAGAGCACCTCGCGGGCAGCTTCTGGTCTTTTGCACATCAGATTCCCGGGTGCTCAGTCTCTGAATCTCGGGTGGTGCGGCACTTCCCTGGCTACAGGGCACAGCTCTGAGAGAACCGCATCCCCGCGCCTGACAGAAGACGTCGCAGTCCCCGGTCCTTACCGACATGCGCTTTCGAGGCTTTGAGGAAGGCTTGGAGGCTTGAGCGATCCAAGCTTCTCGTCCCGCATGGGGTAAGGCTGCGCCAGCTTCACATCCTGGCGCAGAACGGTGCCGAAGGGTCTGGTATCCCCAACTCCCCGCGGCCTGGCGATCCCCTGCTACACTTGAGGGTGGTTACAGGCCGAATCATTCTAGGGCTTTGGGGTCTCGGGCGCTTGAAGAGCCTGACGTTCCATTTGGTCCTCCAGGCTCACGGCTCTAGAATCCCTGTCACCTCCACCTCAAGTAGACGTCCAAGAGAGCCTAAGACCTAAGCATCAACGAAAGGTCCCTGGTTCATGCCTGCGGGAAGAGCCCCACCATCGCCGCAGCCATCGCTAGTGCTGCTGCAGGGGCCACCAAGACGTTGGGCCTCTGGGGAAACGGTCAACTTGAGACCTGGAGTTTGGGGCATGTTGAAACTTCGCAGCCTCTGCTTTGACATGCCAGGTCCCAGGCTGTTGCCGAACACCACAACACCCCTACTAGTACGTGAAACCTCAACTGCGGGTGGAGGCCTCCCGGGCGGACTGGAAGGGGTCGCAAACCCCGGACCCAAGACTCTGAACCCTCTACTTGCTTCGCAGTACACATCGCACCACTCGTGCGACTCAGCTGCCCAGGCGAGTGGGACTGCACCTGGGAAGCTTCGGGCTTTGGTGTTCCGACCATTTCAGCCCCGAAAATGAAGCTGCAAAAATCAGAAGAGCCTTAAACCTCTTGACTCGAGCCCACAAATGCCGCACTGGGGGCATCGAGCTTGTGCTAATGCCGACCCTCCACTTTTGCGCTGCTGATCCACAAGATGCTTGCGGTCACGATGATCGAGAAATGTGCTCACGCAGCATGATCTGACATTATTGTGCTTCAGCAGCCCATTGCAGCGAGTTTGTTTGGCATGGGTGATGCTGCGTAACGAGAATGCAGCATCGGCACATTAAATCGGTTTTACATTTGTGTTGCATTGCGGATAGATCTCCACCACCACTTCTACACATCACTCCGTTACTCCAGCTTGCCATGCTCATCTATGCGCAACGGAAAGACCCTGGCCTCTGCAAGGCAAAGCCCCATGCCGCCCTTGGCGAGCTCGGCGCAATCCTCGGCATCCTCATCGTCGCCAAGTCTTGTGAGACTTCTTCGACAGCGCTGGAAATTGCCCTTGGACCAAGCTTAGCAAAGCAAACCCAAGCCGCGGGTCCTCGAGCAGAGCTGCAAAGAGCGCCTCAAGGCCAGAGACTCTCTGTGAGGCTGACCACTCAGCCCCGCCATGAGGTTTCGTGCAACTGACCGCGGCATTTCCAAGGCCGAGAATGCTCCCACACATGCATTGAAGGGAGAAAAACGGGGCAATGGAAGTCCGTAGACACCCCCAGAGGCTGGCAGAGGCAGCAAGAAGTTTGAAGTGCGGCGGACGCGCCTCACTGCCTGCTGCGTTTCCCATCGCCTGTGGCAGCTGGGTCTGTTCGAGACTAACGCTGACCATGCTACTACAACTGAAGCACCAGCAGCAACGGCACGAACAACGACAAGTGAACAAAGACAAGGAGGAGGGCGCCCTCCTTACGTTACCAGCATCACCACCACCGATAGCATCAACAGCAGCAGCGTCATCCGCGAGAGCATCAGCTATGCATCATCACCCTCTTCTGGTTCGTGGAGTCCTCCTTGTTCTCATCTACTGACCCCGGCCGTCCTTCTTGAGCCTCATCCACACGTTCATCCTGGTAAAAATCACTATCGCATTGTCATCATCATGTCACCATCATCCACATCCAATCACCAGATGTCCGCAAGGCCCAGGTCCCTACTCACCTCGGGCCCCTGAACGGCCTTAACCTGAAGGTCGACCCAGCCTGCCGGGCGAAGGTGGCGATGGGGCCCGACACCGCGGAGGCGTCCCGGCGCGGGCGGTCCTGGCAAACCTGCACAAGAGCAGCAGTCTTCTCAGAGCTGTCGTGTGCCCGTGGAGGCGCAGCTTCGAATGGCATCAACTGGGAATGCTTGCGATGCAGTTGCTCCCAGTGCCTGCAAGAAGAGAGTCCGATGAGCATCGATCTTCTTCTGCTTCCTTGGGGATTCTGCGGTTTGCAAGGAGGGTGAAGTCGCAGGTATTGCCAAGCCCCAAAGCCGAAAGCTTCCCGAAACCCTAGGTCTGTGGGACAGGGCAACGGCATACACTCTTCCAGCCTTGAGCCTAGCTGCAGGGCAGCCACAATGCCGCCGGGGCTTCGCACGTCGCCCGTCAACACCTCCGGAGTGGACCCGAAGTTTTTATCACAGCAAGAAATTTTGTGGAACTGCATGACTTAGGTTCCGTGAGCCGTCAATATACCGAGCCAGCATTCCGGAGACACGAGCCTTGTGCGGGATGCGCTTCGCGCACATTCCGATCTTAGGCGCCACCAGGCTCTCCTGCACTCGAGCTCATGGGTCTTTTTCTTGACCGATCCCCGCAAAGGGACACGAGAACACTCGGGACTCCATGCATCAAACCTCCAGTCTTTCCAAGACGCCGTTTTGGCTCTCATCCCCCACGCACGCACGAGACCAATCTGCCCCCGTGACTCCCAACTTTTCATCGAAAGCTTTGGGAGTTCACGAGCTGGGCCTCGTCACCGCCGATGCCCACCATGGTCAAGGGAAAATCCTCACAGGCTGAGGCTGCAGATATCAGAGCTTCGGCTCATGAGCCTCTGAAATGCCAGAGACTTTCAAGACATTTCAAGCCGTGGCAGCAGAAAGACAAGGAACACAAGCGGATCAAAGACAAAGCGGCTTGTGAAGCACCGCAGGTCCCGACGGTCACGAGGCCATGAACCCCAAAAGAGCAGGCCCCCGCCTTCATGACCTTGCCACGCGGAGTCTCCTTCCACGTTGAAGGGTGAGGCTCAGTAGCTTCGGGCGCTTGCACCAATCCGAAAGGGAACTCGTCAAAGTGCAGGGGAGGACACACAAGTTGGAGAGGTTTCTGACGGCTTCCATTCCATCACTAGGAGTCAAGAGGAGCTCGTACCCTCCCATGCCTCTCCGAAGCTTTCGAGGAGCTTTTTAATGGAGTCGTCTCATTCCAGAATTTTCGCCAGGCTAGTTTTCTTTCAAACCAGACCACGCAATCCGGCCTTGACCAGCTCGAAGAGCTCGACGAGGAGTCGACCATCGCCGCAATCTGCCTGGGTAGCAGCACACAACCATTACTGCTGCCACAGCTCCATCCTGAAGCCTACCTGCAAGAGTGTTGAATCCTAATCCGCCCCTTCAACCCAAGCCCCCCTCCGATCGGTCCGCTCGCCTGCACCACGAACCGCGGCTGCGAGCCGAAGTCCTCCCCCGCAAAGAAGGCGGAAACAAGGGACAGGAGGTCCTGTGCAGCAGCCGCTTGGGCTTGAAGGCTTGGGGCTGCTGGTTTTCAGCGACCCAGTTCCATCTCGCACCAACGTGCATCCAGAATACACAAAGGCTACGACAATACATGCAAGCAGCAGTCCACCCCAACAACCACAGTTTGACTCTTGCTCCACTCAGACCGAGTGAAAAGACAACCAACGGCCGGACTCAGTCCCAGAACCTGCACGCAAGTAGAAGACAGCCCTCGGAAAGCAGTGCCACCACCGCCAGTAAGGACCCTGTTATTTTGGATTAAGGGTTTGGGGTCGGCCAAAGCACTCACACTTGACACAGCTTCGGCACAAACCCGTTTACAGCCCTGGCAGGATCAGCTGACCGCCTGCATCGCGGGAGGTCCTGCACCACAGGCTTTTGTGCGTGAAACACTGATGCTGTGGGTTCCAGGGTGTGATTCTCTGGTAGGGTTCGGTAGGATTGCAGTCAGCACCCTATGCCGCACCCTAGAAGATGTCGACATTCTTCTGTACCACTCAAACTAAACCCCTTCAGAGCTTAGACCTAAACATATGCGACAATGTTAGCAATGCCACCACAGCATTGCCGCGCCTGTGCAAGCTTTTGCGGTGATTGAACCGCCGACTCTGCATATTGGAGCACTTGCAACTTGCGATGCCGACAAAACTGCAGCCATGATCATCAAGAAAGCTCAGCCCTATGTGCAGCACGCAGTCCGTTCGCAGGCGCCATCTTTGGCGAAGGGCCCGAGATGAGCGGGGCCGAAGGAGGGTTTAGGGTTGAAGCTTTCAGGGTTCAGGGTCTTCAAAGGCTTGAAGGTCCTCCTCTCAAGGCTTCTTTGTCAAGCTATGCTGACGGGTGGAGCAAGACGCTCATCTTGAGGGGAGCCCCAGCAATGCCTTGCATGTTGTGAGGCTCGAAATGAAACAGACGGCACGCGAAGGACAGCATCAAAGAGTTGTATAGACCTGATTGGCTGCAGGGTCCCGGGGCCCTAGTCAGATCCCCAAACGATGACATGGGCTGTTGAATTCTCAACACTGGCACACTGGCACTCACAGTACAAGCCTTCAGCCTTCAACCACCAAAGCCTGATGTCTGACCCTGAATCTGCAGACGGCTTCGAAGTAGCGTCACCTCCTCACCGGTTCCCACTGAGCTTCCAGCTTCCATCTGTTCCTCCAGCACGCTCAGACTGAAAACAAAAGGATCCGGATAGTTGGATGTGCCATGCACCACTCTCTGCAAAAGCCGGCTTCCGAACAAAACCCGCAAACCTCCCACAAATCCCGATACTGGTGTCACGAAAAAGGCTCCTCGGCGATCTGTGGCTTCTTGTAACCCCTGAGAAGCACCTCGGGCCCATGGACACCTGAGCTGTACGAACACGAAGATACTGTAAGGATGCTAAAAGGTTAACAACATTTTCAATTCGGCGGGTGATAGCGATAGCGATGATGCTCATGAAACAAAAAGAAGACGATAGGCATACTAGTGACTGTGACAATGATGATGGTGGTGGCTGTCCTGCTGCCTGCCATGGTGATGGTGACAGTGGTGTCAATGGAAATGGAGATGCCTTGGCTTGCGGTCGCGATGCTTGTAATCGTCGCGAGTGCAAAAAAAAAACCAGGCCGAGTCATTCTGAGGCCCAAGCACACAGGACACACCCAGCGGTCCTGGATCCCCAGTGTTTGAAGATCCACGAACCTGCCCCGAAGATTGGGATGGGCACTCCTTTGCATGAAGGTATTCGGCGAGCTGTGGTCTTCGGACCCTCGAGGGGCTCTAGGTGGGTGTTCAGGCTTGATCGCTGGGGCAGTCGGAGAAGCTGATAACAAGAAATACCTTGAGGTTCGGCCTTCGAGAGCGGTTTTGAAGGCTTCAGCCCGGGCGGTTGGCAGTGACCTGCAAGCCTGTGCAAGCCGCGATTAGATTGCTTCACCACATTGAACACTCATCCCCTAAACCCCTATGACAAAGCAATGAGAATGCGGGGCCTTTCGATGCATGCCACGTGGAAAGCCCTGGTGCAGTTCTCGCAGAACAGCACACGGCCATCTTTTTGGCAGACCTCCAGCACATGAGGCTTCCGTGAAGCCGTTCAGCATCTACGGAGTCTTCGGCTTAAGGACGCAGGTTTCAAGCTCTCATAGACTCTTCGGCATCTTGCACAATGAAGGCCCCGATTGCGGTAGATGGATACAGCGCTTGTCACGCACCAGAGTGGCAAAGTTGAGCTAAAGTAGTAACAGCACGGATGGCTGATGGTCTGATGGTGGCCCATAGCCCAAGTCAAAGGATTAAAGCCTGTCAGAGGGTGGCAGGATGGCTAGTTACCTAGAGTAATTGTAAGTAGCAACAGTATGATACTATGTTCGAGATATCTGTGCAGCAGACAAGCACGGTGCAGCTGGCATACGCTTCGCAGCACTAGCTTTGTTGTACGCTTTCGCACCACGGTTGTTTTCCTCTAGTCCTGCAACATGTTTTGAATGCGTTTCGGTCCGGGGGCTTGCTTGGCGAGCATGCTTCGGAATAGTATAGTGACTATTGAGTTTCTGCGCGATGAAGTGTCACAATTCCCCAGACATAGTACTGCCATCAAGTTGTCGGTTCAGATCTGGCAGCCGTGACGATTAGGATCCTTTTCATGACTTTGATGGAACAGCACGGAGCAGCTAGGCGATGCTAGGCGATGCTAGGCGCTAGGTGCTTGCCATCCGCCCCCAAAAAATATGGGGGGAGCCCTCCGAGCCGTGGCCTCGCAGAAGCCGTTGTGGAACTCTTTGGACTCGCTGGCTTCGACGAGTTCCCCCTCCATGGCCATGACCGCTCGGAAGGAAGTCTCGGATCACGCTCTTTGGCGCACTAAATCCCATATATCCTACAGAAACGTCCTATAGATTCGATGTGTCTCGCAAGTTCTTACCTCTTGAGCAGAAGCTGGCGTACTTCCGAAGGCCGCCGGCCGCCTCACACATACGCGACAGATGCGCATGGCAGCTACGCCACAGCTACGCCACACGCGAACGCAAGGAGATGAAGGATTTTGGGAATGTGTGGCACGTCTCATACATGAGAGGAACGGGAGGCCTAAGCCAAAAAGACGGACAGACGGATTCGGACACACACACACACACGGCGACACCGAGATGCAAAAACAGAGAGACACCGACAGCCACAAACAGACCCAGACTGACGGACAACAAGAGTCAAGAATAAGCCGACAGTCGTACCCGGACGAAGAGGAATCTCGTAACTGTGTTGGGGAGGCAGGCGCCACGACAGCTCTCACGTCATTGTCAACCGCGGCTGGCAGCTGCTTCTGTTCGTCGGCAGCCCGCGGCACACACCTTCGTCGAAGACTTCGTTCATTCAGCAGAGCGCCAGAGACAGGGAGAGGGAGAGCGAACGAAACAAGCAGCGACCGAGAGAGGGAAAAAGCATGGCGAGAGCGAGCTGGCTAGATTGCGCAGCAGCCGAATTTCTATTGGCGATACGAAAGTAGAGGAGGTTTTCTGTACAACATCTACATCTACTTCTTCGAATATTCCCAAGCGCTGTGCGTCAGTTGGCAACTGGTGGCTGGAGACTACCTGAACCCTCTTCGGAGCACTTCGTCTGCTGTTGCAGGCCCCAAGTGCGAAACCTGGAAACCCCCCACACCCCACAACCAACGGATTCACTATACCGGGGTTCATTGCGTTTCCCAACTCTTCTGTAGCAAGAATTGGGTGTACAAGAATCTTCGTAGAGTTGACACCTTTATCGAGCGACAGTAGGGTTTGGGGCCCATTATACTACAATGATAATAAGGAACCCCCAAAATAGCTTCGGTAATTATTAAGGCCCGAGTTTTACGTGGCTGGGACCGGCCCGGCTTTTTCCTTGGCAAGCAGTTAAAACGAGGGGCCAAAGGTTCGAGGGAGCTGCCTTTAAGGTAGGGGAACAGGGGTTTGGAGTCTTATAAGAATCTAGGGAGTTTAGGGTCCAGGGTTGCGGATTGATGGGCAACTACGCCGCATTTCTCAAACAAGGGGTGTCGGATCCTGCTACTCAGAGTGGTTCATGATTAGTTCTCTGAAACTCCCATCGAAAGCAAATTTGAGGATGCATCCGGGCGCTGAAGAGCATAGATTGCTCCGAGCATGCCAATTCACAGAATGGCATGCTTAACACACTGCTGTTTGCGTCAGGGGATAATGGCATGCACCTGAGCACCGTGTCAACGTTGGAGCTTCGTGATGTTCATGGTCTCTTACACTGATTATTTACTTCACATTCGGGAGACGCTGCTACAGAGAGAGGGAGGCAACTTGGAGTCTTTTCTTCCTTGGCAGGGTCCGCAAGGGGGCCGAAAAATGGGCTTCGTTCGACACAGCGGGCCTAGCGCGCGTCGAAGTTGCCGATTTCGACCCCGTTGCCATCGGGGTCAAAGAGGAAAAGCTGCACGACCGGCTTCCCTGGCACCCGATTCTCTGCAAAGCGCAAGCCATGCGCCTGCAAGGTGCTGCGTGCTTTTTCGATGTCTGGTACCGTGAGGGCGATGTGGTGGCTCCTGCGGATGTGTCGCTCCGGGAAGCCTTCAAGGAGCCAAGAGTCCAGGAGCGGCGGCGGCTTCCGCTGGAGCTCCGGGTCTGCTTCGATGATGTGCAGCGACTGGCTGTCAGAACCAGGCAGCCGAAGCCAAACTCCTCCGAAGTCGAAATTCGGGCGCGGCAGCCGCTCGAAGCCCAGCACCTCCGTCTAACTGTCGGAACCGCCGACACATCCCGCGCCCTTCATCTACTGCTTACCGGAAACCCCCACAACTCGATGCCTCCTCATAGAAGCGCGCCAGCCGTGCCACATCCTGCGTCTCGCGAGACACGTGGTTCACCTGCGTCACCTCACGAGATGCGCATCACTCTGTATCACTTATTGCATGCACATCTAATCATTAAGGCAAAGCCCTGCTACCAACCACCAACCTCCAGACTGCCACGCAGCGCCGCCACAGGCACAGCCAGGGTGCCCGACTCTTCGCGTTGCAGGAAGTAGCCGCGCTGCTCTTGGGGCAGCTGCGCCTCCACGTGGCGCCACAATGCCTCGAAATCGCCGCCGACGGGCAGCGTCCGGGTGGGCAGCTTGGCCTTCGAGAGCAGCTCTAGAAAAGTGGCCTCGTCCCGTGGAGGACCCGACATTCCCTGCAATTGGCCGTTGCGCAGCCAGCCCAGGTGCCGTGACAGCAGCACACAGCGCTTTGTCTCCTGAGCACGGGCCGCTGAGAAGCTTGCGAGGAGCTCTGCCGGAGTCGACGCCGTGCTTGCAGCAGCGGCCAACGTGAAGGCGTCGTGCACCGCCATGTTCGAGCCCTTCGCCATGTGCGGTGTCACAGGATGTGCTGCATCGCCCAGCACAGCTGCACAGCCCGCTAAAGGCCCCTCAGTCGCTACAAAGCTTTCTAAGGGCTCAGCGATGTCGTAGATGTCGTTCCAGAACGGCTCTGGAGTCGCCTCGATGATGGCTCCCAAGGCTTCGCCCCAGACACGGCGAGCCTCGCTGTGCAGTCGTCTCACATCCGCAGAAGAGGCAGCACTCGTTGTACGGCCTGGCTCGGCAACCGGCCCTTGCGGACGGAGCTCATAGATAAGCCAGTTCAGCAGCCCATCACCGAGGTCATAGAGCACCGCATGGCCCCGGCCGCACTCGCTCATGATGAAGTAGAGGCAGTTGCCGTAGAGTGGGTACACCGCATGCAGAGCGTCCCGCGCCGTCTCCGGAAGGTCGGCCTCGTTTACGACTCCTCGCCAGCCAGTGTAGCCTGCAAAGCGCAACTCCTTCCCCGAGTCAAGCTGCAGCAGTTGACGGAACCCAGAACGGGGGCCGTCCACGCAAACACAGAAGTCGCAGTCGATCGGCTCCCCGCTGGCGAAGTGCACTCTCACAGCTGTGCCGTCCGGATGGTCGTCACAGCCGCGGAAAGTCTCTTCTAGCCGCACCGCCTTGCGCCCGAAACTGACGCTGTCCGCAGGGAGCCGCTGTATCAGGCCTTGTTGCAGTTGCGCATACCGTGCCGCAAAATAGGGCAGAGGCTGCCGCAACACCGTGCGCCCGGAGGCTAGGCGCTCCTCCTCCCATCGCATGCGCTGCAGCACTACGGCGCCCTCTGGTGACCTGGTGGCAGTCGTTGCCAGTGGCACGCCGAGGCCTTTCAGCACAGCCACAGTAGCCTCATCCATACCGATGCCTGCACCCGCCTGCAAACCCTCGCTGCGCTCTACAACTTGGACATGCCGGAAACCCGCTGCTCGCAGGCATGCCGCAGCTGCCGCTCCGCCGATGGAGCCCCCGATGATCAGCACACGCGCGGAGGCCAGCGCCGGCGATGCCGGCGGCACCGTCAGCGCTGGCACGCGCTCCAGCAGCTCTTCCACCGAAGCGACGGTGAAGCCAGCACCGCTGGCCGGTGATGACAGGAGGCCCCCCATGGCTTCAGGAGCTCCTCGCCGTCCAAACCGGAGTGTTAAGGGTGGATTCTCTCTGTCTTCCTGTTCTCGCTGCACTACACTGCTGCTTGTTTACTTCATGTTGTCACGCTTGACTACAATCTTCTGCTGAGTGAGAGATCGACTGTTCGGTTCAGGAAAGCACAGCAACCCTGACGAAACTGACGTCAGACCACACCGTTGAAAACTCCATGGATGGCATGTGGACTTGAAATTGTTGCCTGCTGCTCATGCTTTGAGAGCGCGGGCGCGGAACAAGCACTCTAGCAAAAGCAATGCAAGCACTAAATAACAAAACATGCCAAAATCATGCAAAAACATGCCAATACCATGCAAAAATCCATGCCAAAACTCATGCAAAAACGACGGCATTTAGGGTTATAGGGTTTAAGGAGCTTTCAAAGTAGGCCTGCTCGCCATGGAGCAGTGAAATAGGCCTGCTCGCCACAGAGCAGTGACTAATCAAGGCCGTCCCGCAAATCATGTAAAAAATTCCATGCCAAAAACTCGTGCAAAACAAAACATAGCTGTTTAGGGTTTAGGGCTTAGGGAGTATAAGGTTTAGGGAGTAGGGTTTAGGGAGTAGGGTTTAGGGAGGCGCTTGAGCCGAACCTGTACACCCAGATTTGAGCCAAAACTGTACAAGCCGCTGTAAAACAAGACTCGACCGGCGAAGGGGGCCGCTCGAGCAGCAACGAGAAGCGATCAGAATTGCAGCCGAGGCCGGGGTCAGGCCGGTGACCACCCTGAATGCCAACCTCTCCCGCAGAGCGACGGGCTCAGGTGGCCCGGAACGTGAAGGCTGCGGTGCTCGCGCAGTTGGGGAAGCCGGACGACAACGAAATCATCCTGGAGCTGTCGGACGAGACCTACTACCCCTTGGGCCTTTTTCGCTCGTGGAGGCAATGTTCCGAGCGTGACTAAGGCTTCCTTGATGAAAGAAGCATGCATCGCGGTCGATCGTTTTCTGCGAGACCGCTTTCCCATCGGAACTTGGACTTCCATAGCGGTATTGTTGAATCCTCGAATTGGATTGCATCGTGACATGCAAAACATGGTTCGCAAACCGGACTATGCGATCACTCTCGGAAGTTTCACCGGAGGCAGACTGTGGATCGAAGACGACGAAGGAACTTCAATGGAAAAACTTGCGAAAAAATGAGTAACTTGTCGACGTGGCCAATGTGGAACGTGTACAAGAAGTGCATACATGCACGCTTGTAAATGCAAAACCTGCAGACACTTTCACCTGCTTACCTACCGTTCAACATGTCCAGCAGCCCAGCTGCCAGCACGCGTGCGCACACACTGATGGATCCGGCCAAGAGCAAGA